ACTTTCCGGGGGTTTTTTTTTTTTTTTTTTTTTTTTTAACCACACAGACACTTCCTACTTCAACTTAATATCGTGGAATAATGATATTTCACACAGGATAACTGAAGACTGAGATTTTGATGCTGTAAGTTACGGATCGATAGGGCTTTACTGGCGTGGGACCCAAAAAGTTTTCAATGTGGCCTCCATTTTTAGCCAAAAGCAAATAAAAATGGATCAAGAAAACGAAAAAAAAATCCTAATCATACTATGGATCCCACTCATTTCTGTCCAAATCACAGAGATGCCTGTTCGCTTGGGATTAGTTTCATCACAGGAGTTTGGATGGATGGATGATTTGCGGGGAAATTTTTACTTTTCAAATTACTGACATAACCGATTTGCACAATATTAACAACACAGACAATCTCTGCAATTATTACAAATAGCATGTGGAAAAACTGCACATAAATAGAGCTTTACTTGTGTACAATTTCTGGCATTTCTGGAGGTACAACTTCTTCTGAGTTTTTATTTTTTAGAAAAATGTTAAAACACATCAGTGATTTTACTCTGAATAAGTCCTGGAGAATGTAATTAATTCTTTGCTCGTATAAATCATACATTCAGATAATTTAGTCTGAATACATCTAAATCTGATCAAGGAATTTTGGACATGTAAAGGGCCATCAGAATAAAGGGTGAGGAGACAGGACACAAATGAATGCCATGCTTTTCAATTTTTTGTTTTAAATTTTTTTTATATTTTTCTTCAGTTCCAAATATGAACAATGCTTTGTCACCTTAAATTTGTTGTTGTAACATGAAAAAAGATAAAAGGGGGATGGACACTTTTGCAAGTATTTGTGCAAACCCAGAAGAAGCTTGACGTACTTTACCTTTCTACTGACCTTCCGAGTCAACGCCGCCCAGCTGGTCCAGGCTGTCTGAGCTCACTGATGATGCAGAGTCCACGTTTTCAGAGTCCGAGTGTTCCTGCTCCAGTTCAGGTAACCTGATCGCTATGTCCAACCTGCAAGGAAAAGACAAAATAACAACACAATGTTGCACCAAATCTTTTCATTTCAGCAATTTAAGGAATAAAAAAATAACAGTGTTTGTTTACTTCTCTTGCTTGATTGATTTGATTCTTTCAATGATGGTGCTGTCGGACTCATCAGACTGCAGTAGGTGTGGAACCTTCTGCTCAGCTTCGGGTTGAACCTTCAGGGTCAACAGATGAAAAATAGCATCTTGGATAATTCTGGTACATTTACAGAAATGTTAATTATTATGAATTGTCCCGACCAAATAAATTAAAAGGGCAATTTTATGTCTTTTCCATGCAATCCAGTAAACAAGTAAAAACATATATATATATATGTTATATATATATAACAAAATTTTCCCTTTGGAATTTAACGACTTGAAATTGGACCTCCGTCTCTTTAAAAACTCTTTTAAAAGCTCTTTCTGAAACTCTGCCTTCAGGAAGTCATCACAACATTGCTCCTCTTTAACATTTTTATAATGACATCAGCTAATGAACATTTAAACAAGGTGTTTGCTAATTGCTGCTGCTGCTAGTCTGAAGGAGCTGAGTGGGGATGTGGCGGTGGAGGGCTTCTCTGTGAAAGCTTGGAAACTGATGCTCCAAGGAGGAGCTGCACCCTGAAGGCGGAGCTAGGGCCACCCAGGTGTTTTGCACAGTTGAATGGTTGCCATGGAGATCGAAGGATTTCTCAAACATGCATGTAAGACTGTATGTACTTTTTAAATGAGGAAATAACATTATAACATAATGTAAAGCTTAAAAAGTGAATTTTTCAAAACACTGCCTCCTTAAAATTTAAATTTCTGAAGGCTTGTCACTGATTTAGACAAAGATGGGAACAATGTCTTTGTGAGCAAGTGGCAGTTTTGTACAGTCATTTAGAAAAAGAGATGCTAATGATAAGATGCATATTTTTTGCTAACATGTAGTCAGAAGGATGCAGACGAGGTCAGGATATTGTTTCAGGAAATTATTCAAATTACAATCAGAGGCCTTTTTGGTTGTGCCTCTGTGGTCTCACCGTGTTTTGTCTCCTTAGTTTGAGTTTATGGACAGCCTGGGCCTCGGCATATTCCAGCTCCTGAATGTCTTGCATCTTCTCGTTGTAGCGCCTCAGCTGCTCGTTGATCAGGATCTCCAAACATCTGCATGAAACATTACGTTTTACAAATACTTGTACGTTATTAAATAAACCCTTACCAGGATGAAAGGTTATAGTAGTATGCTAGTATGGTTACTTACAGGGTACTTTTGGGCACATCCTTCATACAAAGTAAAGGGTCACTTATATCAGCTGAGCGCAGGATGCAGGGAGCAAACACAATAGCCAGAGATGTTGGTGACATCTTATTGTGCTTCTCTTCCTTTGCAACCCTGAAACAGACACTGGTTAAAATCTAAGGCTTTAATCACTTAAATGAGAAGCAAGCGTCTTCTTACTTGACAAGGTGGAAAATAAGCCGCTCCAAAGTGTGGTAATTAGCAGGAGGAAGCTCATCGACTTTTTGGTATACAGCCCTTATTCTCTCCTGATTCTCTGGCAGCTCTGCATGTTGAGGAAAAGGGGAGTTAAATGATTTTCAAATTATCTGAATTGCAAAACAAACTTACAAACAAAACGTAAAATATGTAAATGTTCTGTCACCGGCAGCATGCAGGAAGTCGTTGTAGAGAGGAAATGTCATGAGGGGTTCAGGAAGCTCTCTAAGCCAGCGCTTGACGAGGCCGGTGATGGTGTGGATGGGGTAGTTATCCAAACAGACATTTTCAGGATCTGATGGAGCAAGATTAGAGACAAAACTTTTGTTTATCTCTTTAAGTTAAAGGAAAAAGGAAAAAATTAACAAGAATGTGGCTCGTTACTGAAATATTTTAGAACCAAGACCTTAAAACAAAATAAGAAAAAAAAAAGTATTTGTACAGTTTCAATTTGTCAAGATAACTGGAACTGCGCTAATATTTAAAAAAGGAAACGAGTTAAAGCGCCTCTTTGTATGCGAACTTTTTTTTTTTTTTTTTTTTACCAATCTGCAAAATCTGGTGTAGCTCCTTCGCTCGGCAAGCTGCCCCAGACTTTCGGTAAATGCCCTCGGTGTAGAGGCCGTTCAGCTCCACATGCATCAGCAACAACTCCACCACTTTGGGCACTGGGTTGGTTTTACTGGTCAGGACGCACACTTGAACTCCAAAGTGTAGTGAGCCTTGCACACTGTCATCCTGACACATATAAAGACCAGGAGGAGTTATACTAACAAGAAGATTGGAGAAAATGAAAATAATCCACTGATGAAGATTTAATAGGTTTTTAAAAAGGTTGAGCTCTCACCATCTTGGAACGCCGTGTTGAGCAGTCTGTGATGATTTTGTCGAGACATTTCTTGTGACAAATGAACTTGCAAGCTAAAATGGAAACAGATGACCTTTAGTTTTACATATAAACAGTCTGTTCTCACTGGAGCGCAAGTCCACACAGACATTTTTAAAATTCCAATTTGCTAAGTGGGAAAAAAAATCTGAAGCCAAAACATTGATTTATAGAAAGTCTAGTTGCCACATTTATTAACAACCCAGCTGTTGCACAGACAGGAAGGGACCAAGTTTCTTCACACATAAGTCATGCATCCTTTCTTCTCTTTTCTTCTTTTTCATTCTATGAATTGAAACAACCATAAATGTTTGCTGACTTTATGGCCAGTGAATCATATCTGTGATAATTTGGTCTTATACTTTATACCAATAACCTGCTGAAAGACACTTTAGACTTTTATTGAAAATTTTATCATATTTCACTCCAACAAGCTTCCCAAAGCCCACAGCATCACACTTCCTCCACCATAATTAACCTTTTTTAATATTCATGCTTGGATGTGTGTTCATTAGTCTCATTAGACCAAAGCAGCACTTTGGTTATTAAAGCTGCACAATGTACTGCAAATATATGGACATTGCAATATCAGTGCAATAATTGTTGGCTAATATATTCTAAGTTTCATAAACTGTCAATGTAGCATTTAGACAGTCGACAGCTACCAACACCAGACCGGGTATTATTAGAACCTCCCAACAATTCAACTTTGATTCTTTGGGTCACAATTTGCATTAAAAATACCTAAGATTTTGATTTAGTAATAAGTAGTGTATTAATTTTATGTATTTCTTATTTTTCCATTTTTCCTGCCCATATTAAGAGCCATGGTGGTATTTATTACTTTAAAAGGGCATAGATTCACATCTTTGAGCAGTAAAATATCTGAAAATAAAACAGTAGCACAAAAACACTTGTGCTCAATATGGAGTACTTTAAGAAAAGTTTATGCAAAAGTAAATAATTCTTTTTGTGGAAACTGAGATAATTCACAATATTTCCATCAGTCCTCACCAGTTGGTGGTGGTAATGCACAATAAATCAACTGGGTTACAGTTTTTCCATCCCGACTTGAAATGCATGCTCTCTCGCCTTTCCCATTTTGAATAGCGTCAAACAGATAGTTATGATCCACAAAAACCGCAAATCATTGAATTCCAATTGGAAGTTTCCCTACAATAAACACTTGAGTACAACAATAAAAGTACTCAAATGTTGATTCTTCAAAATGTTCCAGTGTGAGATCACATAATAGCAATAAAACATTATCTTATTTTATAACTTTATACACATTTAACCAGGTCTACCAATAAGATTGGAGGATATTTACTTGTGTTTGCATGCTTTAAAAAACAACAGACATATTATATACAGATTATCTACTCACCGCTGCACATGCAAGCTTTCTCCATTACCCAGATGAAGGAATTACACAAGTCACACGACTGCATGATGTTCACCTGGTATGTGCTGAACAGATGATCCAGAGGATTATCAATCTGCAGACACAAAAATGACAGAAACAACTTCAGTTTATTCAATATGTTCATTAGGAATAAACTCAGATAAGATGTTTAACTTACACATTTCTCATTTTTTTTCCTCTTCTTTCCCGTCCTGGTCGTCTGAATGAAGGGAGAAGTAAATTTTCTGAGAGAACTAACAAAAGATCTTTACTCTCTCCATGAAGACTGATGAATGAAAACATAATATCTACCTTGGCTGGTTCGGACTCGCCTCGTTTATTTTCGGCTCTGATGAATCCGTCCAGCACAGACTGGAACAAGTTGACCACCAGAGAGACCTCTGACTTCTTACCTCGTCCTGACAATGCACTCACTTTGTTACGGTAGTCATTCATTAGGCTTTTGTAGCAAACTTTGGGCTTCTATGGGTCAAAAAATTAATAAGAATTTGTTAAATAAAATAGAAATAAAAAATGAAACAACTAGAAATTCTTGAAAGTAACTTACTTGTAAGGAGTACATGGTTTTGATGGTTTCCCTGAACTCCATAGTGGCAGAGAGGAAAATGCCCTCCGTTACGGACAGTTCTTTCACTCTTGATTGCAACTCATTCACCTGACAAAGTGATGAAATTATAAATTACAAGTTGACGGGACGCAAGAGAATAATTCAAAGAGCAGCACAAAACGGGTTTCAAGCTATCCACCTCAAAACCAACGTTGTTAAATGTTACCTGATTCCCAAGGAACTCATCAAGGTGTCGTAGCTCATTGGGATCGGTGATCTCTCGGTCCAGAGACGCGTCCGCCTGAAGCGCTCGCGTGGCTCGGCTGATATAAGGAAATTTTCGCTGGACCCTCGATTCGTTGGAACCTGTCATGTGGTAAGATTGTGGAGAGAATCTTCGCAACGTTACTGCAGATGAGAGACATGACGTGTACCATGATTGGTCTGTGCTTTGAAACAAACACAAGTTTCTCATGTGTTGAAACACATGAGAAACTTGTGT